AGCTTGTGGCCTTCTCCAGTATCCCGGCCAGCGCTGTGGCTTGGGGTGAGAGCAGCTGGCAGGGGAGAGGTGGCAGGGTCAGCACCAGGGGCTCAGCACCGGGGACACGCCGCCACCCACGGGCAAGGCAGTACCTGGTCGTTGATGCACTGCAGGTTGACCGTCCTGGTGTGCCAGAACTCAAACTCTGTCCTGGGCAGGGGGTGCAGCCCCTCCAGCAGCGGCTGCGCCGAGTCCTTGCTCAGGATGTCTCCGATCTGATGGGACCACTCGATGACGATGGTCTCAATGGAGTGTAGCACTGAAATGTCCACGGGCCCTGCCAGGCTGAAAGGCAGCCGGGTTATGCTCCAGCACCAGGACTGGCCCCGAATCCCCCCAGGGGAGCCGTGCTGCCCCAGGGACCCCCGTGCGCCTGCTTGCAGCCACCTCTGCCAGCCCAGCATGAGTCTCTCAAAGCTGCTGTGCTGCTGAGGGGCAGCTGTGCCCAGGGGTGCTCAGGGACCGAGCTGTCATCCCAGCTCCCATCCCTCCCAGACGGACTTGTGCTGCCGCGGGCCCCTGCCAGGTTTTGCTGGCACCGAGTGGTGCCGGCAGCACCCACCAGTCCAGGATGGTGCTGGAGTCGTCCCAGCCGTCCAGGTGCTCCGGCAGTGGGAGCAGCGGCTTCCCCTGGATCTTCCTACCCATCACAAACATCTCGTTCTTCAGCCGGCAGGCATGTTGCATGATGTCCTCCACCACCACCCCAGGCCAGCCCGCCACGTTCTCCTCGCTCAGGAGCAGGGGGAACACGATCTGGAGGAGAGGGCTCGGTCGGGTGCTCGGACAGGAGCACCGGGTCTCCCATTGCAAAGGGCAGTGTGCGGCCGCACTGGTGTGCACAGTGTCCCTTATTGCTGCCCATCCAAGCTCGGTCTCAGTCCAGCCACAGCTCCAGCAGCCATGGATCAGTTTTGCTGGGTTTTTTTTCATTTGTTTGTTTGGTTTTTTTTGTCAGTGCGACCAGGAGTCCCCTCACCCTGTGATGGGTTTCCAACACTCACGGTTTGGGAAGTGCTGGGAGTGCACCCAGTGGGGTCAGGGGCTGGCGCACAAGCAAAAGCCCCTGGCATTGAGGAGGAGGAACCGCAGGAGCTCCTGGGCCCTGACAGCTTTTGGGTGCTCTGGGCTGGCAGTCTTCTGAGCAGGAATAGTTATAAGAAGTTTGAGAGAAATCCACTCAGACATTTCCCAGCTGCAGGGCATGGGGAAGGGGGAATTGCGCCGAGATTTTGAAACCACAAGGAAGAAGCAATCTAGCTGGGCCCCAGGAGAAAATCAGGCTTGTGACCTTCACCCAGCTCCATGTCCCAGTGGGATGCAGTCAGCCCACCGGCAGAGTGGGGTGGGCGGCCAAGAGCCACTGTGAAGCCAGGGCCAGCGCCTGGGGCAATTTTTCTTCTATTAATTTAATTTAGTTTCTTTTCAAGCCCACCTAAAATTTTGGTGACGGCAGCCCGCAGTGGGTGTCCAGGCAGCAGTGGCCCGTACGGGGAGCTGGGCTCGTCCCACTGCCCCGTGGCCTGCCAAGGAAGCCACCCTCCTCCATCACAGCAATGAGCTGCTCCACCGGCGAGGGGCTGATATCTCCCACCAGCAGCCCGCTCTGGCAGTTCTCTCGGGTGATGTTCTCCCTCTTCTTCTTCACGAAGTAGACGCCCTTGCCCCTGAGGGCGGGTGGGAAGCCGGCCGTCAGCAGGAGCTGCCCGGCAGGGTTCAGCGC